GGGGGGGGGGGAGAGGGGGAAGAGTGATAAGAGTTGTTATGCACACACCTGACAGAGAACCAGTATTTCCCAAGGTACGTGACGTATCTGGACATTGCATACATTTAAATTTAGAAGAATGATTATCGTTTTGCAATACATCACGGCAACGCGGAATACAGTTAATTAAGGAACATGCCAAACGGAATCCGGATACACATATTGTATTTCATGACGAAGAAATAGTTTTTCCAACATCCGACGATATTCCACGGATATTAAGGGAATACCACTGCTCAGCCATCGGGGGACACAAGGGGGAGAAGAAAACATACAAACGCATTTTAAATAACTACTATTGGAAGACTATGATCAAGGACATAAAGGACTACATTAGGAACTGTTTGGAATGTCAGCGTGTCAAAGCTAACAGGAGACCATGTATAACACCATTGGAATTAACGGATACGCCGAAACGATTTAATGATAAAATTGCAATGGACATCGTTGGACCACTCAAGGAAACGCTAAGGGGACATAAATATATATTAACTGCACAATGTTTATTAACCAAATACAGTTGGGCTTGGCCTTTAAGCAATTATACCGCAGAAAGTTGTGCTAACGTTTTCTTGAAACATTACATTTGCAGGTACGGAGCACCCAAAACGATTTTAACTGATAACGGACGGAACTTTGTATCAGAGTTTATGAAGACTTTCGAAAAGATTATTGGAATTCGGCATGTTACCACCACTGCAGTCCATCCCGAGAGTAATGGTTCACTTGAAAGAAGTCATCAGGTGTTAAAGGATTACTTGAAGATTTATGTCAATAAGGAACAGAATAATTGGGACGATTACTTAGACTTAGCGGTTTTTAACTACAATACCCACGTACACGAAGCCACAAAATATTCTCCATATGAACTAGTATACGGAAGACACGCCAATCTACCATCCAATGGAAGAAATAGGATACTGACGCACACGGATGTTTTAAATGAATTATCCAGCCGCATAAAGGACCTGCAAAGAAATGCCAGAAACAATCTGGAAGAAGCTAAAAGGAGGACGAAGGAAAGATATGACAGAACCTGCAGGCCATATGATTTTAAAAAGGGTGATTACGTATGGGTTACGAATGAGGATAGAAATAAGGCCAGCGGATTAAGTGTTCCATTTGAAGGACCTTACCTTATTTTAGACGTTCCATCGGAAACAAACATACTGATTCAAAAATATCGGAAATCTGTATTAATACACAAAAATCGATGTAAATTTGCTAATTTAAATATTTCAGGGCCCTAGGGGTCAGTGTGCAGGGTGAGGAGGCGCAGTACGGGATTCGTGAGTTCGAAACCCTACCAACCTTCTACCTGGAGCCTTTAGGACAACTGAGGTTGTTCACTGAGGAATGGAGGGTAATTAGTTACCTGCCACTTGAGGACCTTATCCAGCAAGAGGCCCACATCGAAGAGGGTATCAGGAGCATAAGGAAATTGGACATAGGCGGTCTTCATAATCGGACAATATACCAACTGGAGAGATGCCTACTACAAGCCAGGAAAGATCGTGAGCGATTATTTTCTTCGGTAGGCTATGAGTTATCCTGGTCAAAGCGAGTGCGCCGCGGCGTATTCAATTTCATTGGTGACGTGAGCAAGATCCTCTTCGGAACAATGAGTAATGAAGACGCAGAATATTATAATCGTGAAATAGATTTAGTACATAAGGATAACAAGCGTAACGCGGAATTATTTAAGAATCAGACCAATATATTAAAAGTAGTATTAGAAAGAAATGACAACTTGTTGGAGGATTATAAACGGAAAATAGGCACTATGAATTTAGACATTAATAAAATAGAAAACAACGAAAGAACCAATCTGCTAGATGATACAATTCTCGAATTAGGTGTAATATTGGAATTAGAGATTCTTAGTTACCAACGAAATGTAGATATAACTAATCAGGCTATACTAGACGGTAGACAGGGCAATATATCGCCAAATGTAATAGAACCTCAAGTTTTTTTTGAAATAGTACAGAAAATAAGGGCGGAAAAGGGTACAAATCGATTACCACAGGTCGCCGTGGCTGAACACTACTACGAGTATCTTCAAATATGTAACATAGAAATAGGCATAATAGATAAGAGATTAGTATCCGTAGTTAAAATACCAATTCTTGAAACAAACTTTTATATGCAATACAAGGTACACTCTATACCAAGTGTTCAGACTGACGGTACCATCATTCGTTTAGAGGCTCCACAAGATTACGTCATTACAAATATGGAAAGAACACAAATGTCGCCGAGTTCCTTCTTTTTCCTTAATAGTTGTAAGAAGTTAAACCACGTCTATTATTGTAAACGTTTAGAACCGAAGTATAGGATAACAAGGGAACAAAATTGTTTAAGCCGTTGGTTGAAAGAAGTTTTCGATAACAGCGCTAAGATCTGCACATCCTTTGTTGGAATCATGCAATACTCGTTATACTTACCGTTGCAAACCGGTACAGATTGGATACTTATTCCTCGTGGAAACGAACAAGTACAAATACTTTGCGGACAAAATTCGAAGTTTGTAACATTAACCAAGCCAAGTATTATACATTTAGGACCTAACTGTATAGCTAGTACAGATTTTGTGGTATTAGAACCAATGCATAGTTCCAATAGAATTGTCACTGAACTCCGTTTTGACCTTCCAAGTTATAATTTTACTTCTATACATGAAACTTATCAACAGTTGCTGCACAGTATAAATTTAACAAATTTAAACATACCGAAAATAGACAAGCTAGATTCGCATGTATTAGGTAAACGTTTAGAAGACCTGGTTAAAGAAGCGGAGACAATAGGTAATCACAAACGAACGGAAAATTATATTGAAACAGCAACGAGATTTGGTACATACCTTGCATATGGACTATTAGCCACGTTAATTCTCTATGTGAGCTATAAGCTCCAAATAATACACTTTGTTAAATGGTGCTTTTTGACGGTGACAAGACCATGCATTCATAACACATACGATAACCATATGCACGGGAATAGAGGACAGATAATAAATACAACCTCAGAAACTACAACGAGACATGGAGATGTTCCCAAGGCTCGTTTCAGTTCACCCTCTGAAATAAACTTGACAGATATTAGGCGAATGTTAAATCGGAATAGAAATAGATCAATAAGCACGCGGCGGAATGAAGATATTGCCAGAAATAAGGCAACATCTTCAATTTAAGCGGAGGGGTGTTATGCGTCTCGCCTAACAATTAGTCATTCTTATCCTATCCTATCACAGCCAAACATTGATTCATATTCATCACCAACTTTCACTCTTAGTCACATTTTCGCTCTTCGACACTCTTAGTCACATTTCGCTCTTCGACTCTTCTTTCTTTCCTCTTGCATTCTCACCGTTCAAAGTACATTTTCCGAAATCTTTATATAGCCCTACTTTTCTGGTCCTCCGTTCAGTCTCTTGTATTTTCCGGTCACTTAAGCATTGTCGGTGTAATTACGAAATAAAAGTATATTTTCTCTGCGAACGTCGATCTCGAAGTATTTATTCCTTAAGTGATACCTCATTCTCCGAGATCAGTTTCTGAGGAAGCTGATTCGAACCGGGCATCACATATAAAATTTTGGTGTCAGAAGTGGGATAGCGTTCGTAGAAATCTATGGAAGAGACTCTTAAACACTCCTAAGGCAAGAATAAAACTTTTTTATTTTTTATTTTTTTTTTAAACTTTTTCCATTGATATCAAGATCGAAGAGCTCCTGTGAGGGATTAAGAAGACGGAAAAGGGGAAATACACATGAAGATCATAGCAACGCTTGTTCTGCTGTAAGTTGATGTCTTTTACTGAATATCGAAATCCGCGAGAGTTCTTTGACGACGATAGCATCTCAAATTCAACCCAATCCTCAAATTCAGACGAAGAATACGGTCAAGTTTTCAAATCATTCACTACAATGGATTCTAGTCAAGTGATAAAAGATATGCAAGAACTGAAAGAAATTGTTTTAACGCTTGCGACTAAGATAACTTCTCTGGAAAATAGTAGAAACTCGGCAGGGGGTAGTTCGGTGATAACAGAAGATCACAATACGGCTAATAGAATAGAGTTCGAAAATGTAGATGTACCACAGCCGGCGGTAGAACCCGAAACATCTAGTATTAATTTCATTGAAGAGGAGAGGATTTCTAAATTTTTATGGAACGAGGTCAAAGCTTTACCGGAATTTGATAACTGGAAAGTTGGATCTCGAAAAAATAAAAAATAAAAAAGTTTTATATTTGTATATATATTGCTTCATGGATATACCCTACCCCGGATCATGTTACATTTCTCGGCGACCGAGCTTCTCGGCGTCTGAAGGGGTCTTCCACCCAGTGGTGGGGATAACTTTGATGCACATATCGTACAGATCATTTGTGCACATATCGAATATTTACTGTATACAGCATATTCTTGGTTCTTTACTTAATTTTTCCCCGAATAAGTTATTGGCATTGATGCAGAATACTTTATTAAATTCTGAAACTCAATTCTGAAATTCAAACATTATTTATAGCGTGAATAGTATCAAGTTTATTGAATAAGGTTTAAAATTGAAAGATATTGATTTGTGGATTTCATTCTCTAACCGCATACCTCATAGACCCAAATACATATCTGGTTAAATATAATTATATAGTTATACAGTTATGTAAAAACCGCATTCCTGTGTCACGAGCGCTATCAGAGTCTTGTTATTAGTTCAACTTCTGAAATGTTTCGGAAATTTAAATATGTCAATAGTATCGTGGGTGCAAGCAAATTAATTTAGACCCTTGTGAAGAACTCGTAAAGTCTATTCAGTCTATATTCTTATTTTAGTAATATGTTACATATTTTTATGTTTGTCAGTCTCGACAAAAATAAATTCGATATTCATATTCAGCAAATTAAAACAAATGAAATAATATACATTATGTGGTATAAACGCATCTTTATTGACAAGACACTATAGGGTACGTTCAGAATTAATTTCTGAAATGAATGGAAATGAAACGTGATGTTTGTATTCAACGTGTCAAGACGATTAAGCCGATATAGTATATGCTTAAGAACAACGGTAAAGTTCAGCACTGCTTTGCATTAGTTATAGCACATTTTATGTAAAGATATACATACGTTCATTTGTGTAATAATTGCTGGTACAGTACGGAATATAACAGAGTTCCCTAAGGAAAATAACGATGTGTGGCGAAGAAATTGCACTATTCATACGTAAACGTTCCTTTAGAGATTGCTTATAAAGTACGAAAACATCCAGTGCAAATTTGACATAACACGTAATAATTTTCGGAAATTGCAACAAGCAGCAGATCTCCTTTTCCTACATCGCCATTTTCCCTTGAGAAGCCTACCGTGCTCAATACTGTACAATCGCGTGCATCTTAGGCTTCCCCTAGTCAAGAGCTTGAAGAAGAAGGAGTTTAAATTATACTCTCTTTGAACTCTATTTAGCTTCTCTCGAGGCTTTATCAAAGTTATCCGTAGATTCTCTTTGGCTTCTTCTAAGGTAAATGGTGGGAGTCTCTTTCTACTACATTCTTAAACCAAAGGAAGCCTATGTTGCTTTCTACCGCATATTTGTAATGTGATACTAATGAACGTTTTGCAGACCTATGACACCACCTTTTAAATCTAAAGTAATTACATATCATCTTCTATATCGACTACGATTACAGCAATTTTTAACCATTTGAGACAATACATGCTGTACATTTGAAGAAAATCATTATGGCGATTACGAATTCAAACACGCTTCCTAAGTTTCAAATGTGGGCACTATAAATTTACATAAAAGAGGAAAGATATTACTTAACTCGAATAGCAAATATGTTATAGACATATTGTATGTAGTTTAGGAACAATTTGCCTTTCAAATGGTTAAAAGTGGTCCAAATAATGAAAATTGTACGTTTTAAATTGAAATAGAATTAGTTTTTCTGTATTTCGATAAATATTTATTTAAGAATACATATAGCAATCGTTTGAGTTGATTGCGAGGACTGTTCTAAATAATTATTCATTCATTATTGTAATTTCGTCAATTACTGATGTATTTTGAAAATTATTAAATCCTAGCATTATTTTTATAGTTCGATCCTTTTATTTTTCGTACGCCTTTTACAAAATATTGTTCTTTTTATTTCTATATTTCAAGTGCACAAATACTTTTGTACTCCATTGTATATCACGAAAGTGATTGAGTCATTATTATTTGAAACCACTATCTAGCTTTTGATCCTTTCACCCGTTTACAAAATGATTTACTCGCTACGGGGCACAATTCAAATGCCATAAATCACGCATGGGAATAGATCAAAACTGTTACCTCAGTATCCACGATAGTTATAACAGTTAATATAACTATATTGTTACGGTTATTTTATAGTGTGGCGAAAGTAATAGAAACACCCGAGCGCTGTTAATCTGATTTGTTCTGATCTAATTTTTGACATTCTTCTATATACAGGGTGTATAAAAAAGGTCGAAACCCTTGAATATTTCGAAAAATATAAGTTTTATCAAAAAATGTTTCAGACAAAAGTTGTAGGGTTTAAAAAGTTCTATTTACTGGCAATATCATTTTGACCTTGAAGAGTCACTGGAAGGTCACTTCAATTTTTTTAAATGGAACACCCTATATATTTTTGCATATTCTTGTAGCTTACCACGAGAGCTTCCTAAAACACTATGATAAAGTATTCTGTTTCTAAAACACTATGATAAAGTATTTTTTGATTAAAAACTTTTTGAGTTATTAAGGTTTGAAATTTCCAATAATTTTGACAAATTACAAAATATCTTACAAAATATTCATTTTTCAATAATCTTACCCTAATACTTTTGTGCACAGAATAATCAGATAAATTGACTGGCATAAAGAAAATACACAATTGTTTAAAAAAAATGGTTTGAAAATTTATTTACTTATTTTTTTTTAAAACAATTGTGTATTTTCTTTACGCCAGTCAATTTATCTCATTATTCTGTGCATAAAAGTATTAGGGTAAGATTAGTGAAAAATGAATATTTTGTAAGATATTTTGTAATTTGTCAAAATTATTGGAAATTTCAAAATTTAATAACTCAAAAAGATTTTAATAAAAGAATACTTTATCTAGTGTTTTAGGAAGCTCTCGAGGTAAGCTACAAGAATATGCAAAAATATATAGGGTGTTCCATTTAAAAAAATTGAAGTGACCTTCACGTGACCTTCCAGTGACTCTTCAAGGTCAAAATGATATTGCCAGTAAATAAAACTTTTTATACCCTACAACTTTTATCTGAAATATTTTTTGATAAAACTTATATTTTTCGAAATATTCAAGGGTTTCGACCTTTTTTATACACCCTGTATAAGTAGTAATATTAGACGACGGATCGTTGAATTTGTTTGAAAATACATCATATTATGTATTTAGATTCGCTGTATGATAAATAAAACCTACATTTGTGTTGATTTGGTTGAAAATGAAGCGGTACAGACTTAATTATAAATTTCTGATTTGTCAGAAGTTGTAATATGTATCTGAATGTTTTAATTTTACAAGTTTAACAAATGTTAAGATCCTCAAGTTTTTTAAAATTCCAAGCGATGTACAGTGAGCCAGAGCGACGAATTAGCTGTTCACGGCCAATTGTAGTGTTATTCCAAGACTTGAAACGAAAATATAGCGGCCGCTGCGTCGTTCTAGAATTCAAAACAAGTATTATTATTACATTTAATCACACCGGATTATTTTCGTACCGAAAAAATTAAAAATAAAACAAAAATAAGTGTTATATTTCAAAAAGTTGGTGAATATACTATACTCTCAATGTGGACGTTTGAGTTATAAGCATAATTTGTATTAACGTAAACATAATTTTAACATAGAAACAATTTTTATTAATAGAAATAAATACATTTTTTACTAAGTTTGTACTGTGACGGATCGGTGGGAGGGACGCCCTTTTATATTTCTTCTATTGACTATTAACAATGCATTCATATAAACATTTTTTCACATTTCTAAACTGGAAAACCTTGTATTTATAACTTGTGTCGGATCTGAGGGAGGGACGGAAGAAAAAGTCCCTGAGGTGGAGGGCGGCCAGGGAAAGCGGTCCTCCACGTCCCGATACGCACACCCACGGACGATTTCTTTAAAGGGGTGCCAGTGTAACGCACGCGTCCGGGGGAATCGCCCTTCCGTCTGCCTCTTCCGGGAGCGGTACTCAAGGGGGAGATAGAAAATGAATAGAAAATCCGCGAGTATCTTTGGTAAATTTAGCTTTATTGCGGGCCCAAGCGAGCCCTTCGAGAAGAACGAGAACGAGCCCCTCGTGGTACAAAGTTCGGTAAGGGAACTGGGGCGCGATTGCTAAATGCGACGAAGGTATCGCGACACGGGGGCTTACGGTACACGTGAATGATACAAAATCGAGAAAGAAAAGAAAAACGTGGTACACTTTGGGGGAGCACGCCCTCTTGAGGGTCGTGGACAGCAAAGGGAACGCTGGACCTAAACGTAAAATACAGCAAAAAAAAAATAAATAACCCGTACTGGGGTCAGCGGCCCAAAATCGCGGAAACGGAAAACACAAATCGATACCAAGATATTCCGCGAATACGGTCCCTAGGGTCCTCGTCGCCGGGGCTGGTGATCTTATCGCTAGGAACCACCCACACGCACACCCGCTCACACACACGCTCAAAGATCTTACTAAAGGCAAAGATCCTACTGTAGCGTGCCGAATGTGTCGCTACTACGTCACGATAAAATTTGATGTTAAAAGATACCGCAACGCGATTTGCTTCTAATACTAAATATTACAAGCAATGGTTCAAGTTCTCCCGGCTGTTGGAGGTTTGTAATGTTTCTTTCAATACTGAGTGAATGAATCTGACGACTCGCTGTCGTCTTGACTCCGACGTCGACGATGGAGTCAGAGGTCGTACGCTGATTGGCTTTTCGCCTTTTTTAGGAAATTCCAATCAGCGTGTCCTTTGGGATTGGGCCCACCCTTCATAGCTCCCTTAGAGCGTCTTCGTCTAGGAAGGGTGGGGAATCCGGTGAGTTGGCGGGAGGACCCCGAACGTCCGGCAATGCCGCGATTTTTTCTTCTAGGTACATTTGGCGACCATAAGTTCCCGTTAGGTCCGTGCGTGACCGTTCCTAAAGTACCCTTCGGAAAAAACCGTGTTTATGATCGGAAAGTGACCGTTGAGGATGAAGCGAAAAATTCACTGTCTTATAATTGTCTTCCGCTGTTTCGCTCTTTTACATTCCTATTGTAAATCGTTTCGTTAAATCCCATTCGTTCGGGTTGGTCAGCGACCTCGCCCTTATGACTCTACATTATGATATTATCATTTTTGTTAAAAAAAATATAATAATAGGTGCCTTCTACCACTGTAGTGTAAGGAAATAGAAAATCGACAAACGGTCGGCACGGGCCACGTGCTTTTTGTCAGTGCATTCCCCTTCCGCAGGGAAACTTTGCTGGGCCTAAGTGCCATAAACAACCATGCTGACGGGGGTGTCCTCAAGACGGGACCGTGTCTAGAGAGACATTTCTGTATTGGCATTTGCCGTGAAACGTTTCCAGTAAAGCATTTAATATTCCACATAAAACGCCCACCGTTTATTTAGCGAAAAACCTCACCTTTACTTTCATTCCATCTATTCATCTTACATTAGACTTGATATTTTGACGTTCGTCTGTATCTACCTATGACAAGGCGAAGAAAAATGGAACTGGAATTTTATTTATACACTATCATTTGATTTCAATTTATAGTGAACGTAAATTATAGACGAGTTTGTAATTAACTATGTTCGGGAAGAGTTGGCAAGTGAGCGTTTTTGTTTGCAATAAAATACGAAACAAAAAAGAAACAACTATTCAACTTCTAATTTATGTTATTAGAAAGATCAATTATCTTCTTTGCAATTTCTTCCCTTGTATGAATTGCATTTATTAAAAGAACATAGATATTTATGAAGGAAGTGTATATATAACGGGGTTTATCCCCAACTGGATAAAAAAGAGAAAATAAACATTGAGTAAATTCTGCTTTTATTTAATTGATCTTGTTAATTTAGGCAAGTATTCCAATATGTATGAAGGATCGGTTTGTTCGACGGTCGTCGGGTGCGATCGGGCGCAATCGAGCGAGCGGGCGACTCGCACAATTGGCGCCAAGATAATTCGGTGTTACCATGATTTGGCGCGGAAAATTAGCGGGAGAATAAAAGATCGCAAGGCATTTGTTTCCTTTTACGCGGGAACCAAAGGAGAATGAGGAAAACGGCGTGGTGTCGCGAGGAAGTGGTGTCGTAACGGTTGAAGTAGTAAGTTGTCCGAAAAAGTCATTGTATAATTGTTTGTAGTTGATTTTGTATTCTTGTAAAGTTATTAAAACTATTTTGTTATTGTTATTCCCAAAGAACAGTAATCCGTCATCCTCGATAATTTCGATCCTACATGTATAGCAGTTTGAAAGGGTTTGGAGAAACGCGCAATACTTTTAATTAGGTGTGTTAGAATCCGGGTTGAGGAATAAAACCGCTTTACTATACTAAATGTTTATTGGATTTAAAACCTCTATGGTTACGCCGAACTCAACTTTAACAGAAAATCGTGTGATGAATAGAAACAACGACCTCCTTGCTAACTTGCAGCAAAATTGATTCTCTGTCTAAACTCTTTCTAAAAACTGTCCGTGGTCAGTGACAATATATATTATACATATATCCTCTCTTGTCATCCCCTTCCAGTGCGCCCAAAGCGCGGTACATCCCTGGAGCGGGGGTGACAGGCTGGTCACTGTCGCCAACGCATGTTTGGCAACATCGGGGAGATTCCGTCAGGTCAAGATCCTTGGGGACACTAATTTCTGAATTTCTAAGGAACCCTCTGGAATACGACTTTATGATACTCGGGCTGAAGCAAAAAACTGAACAATAGCTAAATTTCTAAGTGACCTTATGTGCCGCATACTGGCTGCAGGCCGGCCTGCTGAAACTCATAAAGAGGAAAAAACTAACGGTTACAAATGACTCTACGAATATTTAGCCGTATCATAAAGTTGTCCCCTTGATGTCTTAACAAATATACTTACAGAATATATAATAAAATATACTAATGTCTATTCGACTAAATACATAATATATACCTACGTGTTGCTGAAGCGTGTGTCACGCGACGCTTCAAACAATAATAACTTTTGCAGTGGGATGAGGGGGGACATGACTCCTCTTGGATTAAAATAAGGAAATCCTGCTGAAAATGTTGCACTATGATAGAGCACGCAACTCTTTGAACTTTTAAAGATATCCCTTGCTAAAGATGAACAACTATGAAAATTATCTTTAGTTCATTGAGAATTATTTTGTAAATAAACTACAAATAATAATTTGTCATGGCATGTGTATTCTCAATATGGACATATGCTGTTTATTAAAGAAAAAAAAATTTTGCAAAAATGTTTAATACTTTTGTCAGGGCATCGACATGAAAAAGAGTAAATTTTTCGGTGAAAAATAGCATTCATAAAAGTCTGATCTTTGAATGCTTGTTATGACTA